CATGTCTCCAGTTCACCTTTGAATTAGCAAACATAAAATTTTATCAATAATTTTAGATAATCATAAAAGTAGTCCTTTGAAGATTTGACCACCCATGTGGTTTTGGGGTGGCCCCAAAACTTTTAGAACCCAAGTGGATGGATAAGGGGCTAGAACCCCAGCCATTATTCATATAAGCAGAGAAAGGCAGGAAATCGAAAAGAAAGTGGTCCAGCCATGAGAGAACTAGGTAGGTAATCAGAGGAGTTAGTAGCTGCCTAGTGGTCAGTGATAGAAAGACTGGTAATAAGAAATTAACAATTGCCAAGGCCAGAGGCTGGTGAGGAAGGGACCAGTTCATCAGAAAGGAAAGATTAGGCAGCTAAGTGAGAAATCGTATTATTGTGATCTCGCAACCAGTGTCTTTAAAAACAATTATCGTCATTGTTATTATTTGTTGATTACAACCAAGAAGACAAACCTGTGCACACAGTGAGTTGGGTGTATACGCAAATACAATCAACCTTGAATGTTATCACAGGTGCAGTGAACGACGAGCAGATAACAATGTCACAAAACTTGTCACAAATTTTCTGCAAATTTTATTGCACAATCTCAAAGTGGCTTTGTTTATCCTTTTTGAAATCATTTTCTTTTAAGAATTACATTGGCATTAACTGTTGTCAAATTATTAATGAAGATAAAACAAAAAAAAAAAAACTAATGCAGCTTCTCTAGTATCCCACAATGCATCACTGTTGAATGATTGCCAACAGAGTAAAAAATACACCATTTCTGGTGAAGGAAACTGTCAAAAGATCAAAATAAATAAACAGAAAAACAGTGATTACAACTAAGAAAATCCAAGATGGTGGTAAAGAAATATTTTTAAAAAAAATTAAAAGAACATAAAAATTATCTCAAAATTCAAGAAAAAAACTCGTATTAAAGTCTAAAAAGTCATCAAAGATAAACAAAAAATCATAACAAGGCAGAAAAACAGTTAAAAGAAAAAAAAATAAAATAAAATGATTTTTATGTATTACAATACAATTATTAATAAACGAAGATAAAAAAAATAGATAAAAATAATAAATCATATGTAGGAAGTAAGATAAATTCTACTGAAAAGGATATGAAAATTTGCATAGCTAAAGTTTGGAAACTCTTGAAAAAAATGAATGTAATATGGAAATCTGATCTACAAGACAACCTCAAGCGAAGATTCTGTTAAGCCACAGTAGAAGTCGTGTTAATGTATGGAAAATAAAAACTCTAGAGTCTTAATGAAAAGGGATTCGGGTTGCTTGGAAGAATCGATCCTACTCCTCTTACTGAAACGGGATTGGGGTTGCCTGGAGGAATCGATCCTACTTGTCTCTGTCCTCTTAAATCATACTTATTATAAAACCCAGGTTGTGTGTGTGTATGTTCGTTTATATATTGGATCGGATTTCCTACATTTGTCAACCGATTTCAACAAAACTTCACGGGACTATATAAAATTACCTTGCGGTAGTTCTGACAGCGCCAAAAATTGGAAAAACACAATTGTTTTTGCACGAAATCAATTTGAAAACACGATTAAGAGGCATCGCTGTTTCGAGAATGTAAGGGAGACAACTCATATCGAGTTATACTTATTATAAAAACCCAGGTTGTGTGTGTGTGTGTGTTCATTTATATATGGGATCGGATTTCCTACATTTTTCAACTGATTTCAACAAAACTTCACTTTTTTTTTTGGCAGGTAGTGTTTCTTATTGTCTTGCACACTTTTTTCTTTATTTTTAGATTCAGAATGCTTTAAAAAATCCATTTACAAGACAATTGTTTATAATAAAATTGAAAAATTCTATTCACTCTGTAGACTCATAACGATTGAAAACAATGTTTTTGTTTGAGTTTGGGTTTTACCAATTCGTAAAAAAAAAAAAAAAAAAACCTATTTAAGACATGCGTGTCCGTCAATCTTAAACAATAATCTTTGTTAATTTTATTTTTCAGTCTTTATGATGGTTGATACTTGATCTATCACTTACTGTTACATCCCCGGGCAATGCCGGGCTCTACTGCTAGTATGCCATAAAATACTGCCATGGTGTACATATATATGTGTCTGTGTAAGTAGTAATGGTACAGTTCTAGTATTTTATTAAATAAGCTTCACAAATAGTTGAATAGAAACATTGAAATAAAATAAGATCATATTTGTGTGTATATATTTTATATGTATGATTTGATTTCATAACATACAAATGTAAACCCTTTAAAAATTTTAATTTCCTCCTAGGTGTGCCATTGATTAAAAAACTTGAGAAACACTGCCTAAGATTGATCGAACTTTCACTAGAATGCTGAGGGATATACTTAACATCTCTTGGAGGCAACATTTATTTTTTTAACTTTTCACCCGAAGCAAGGCAAGAGTGCCACTATCACGCAAGGGGATACAGAAAGTGGGAGCAAGAGTAAAGAGGTGTGATAGAGGAAAGGATGAAAAGAAGGACAGGGAATAGATCAAGGCATCTGGAGATGTCAATTGACATTGCATTTGAATAGTTGGAGATTATAACTATCAGGGAAGCAAGTAAGAAGAAGGGGGTTCCACGGACAGGAAGTGTGAGACATGAAGCTATTGGAGTAGAAGAGACGGCTACATTTAACTGTTTTGACAGTGAAAGGGTGGGACTGAGATGCCGACCTAGTAGCACGTTTAAATTCATGCAGTTTGGGAACCAACAAAAGAATCTTGTCAGAGCAGTTACCATGAAAGTATTTGTAGAAAAGACAGAGGGAAGCGATGACACGTCTGTGAGAGAGCGACTGTAAACAAGATGCCAGATCAGGGCCAACCACATTGCATATTCATCTCTGGATTTTATCGAGGACCCTAAGACGAACAGTGGGGGCTCCAGACCATATATAACAGCAATATATCACAGCTTTATGGACCCATCCCTGATATTTCTACAATCTTACATGAATAAAGAATGTACATTGCAGGACACTGCTGGTGAGCAAAACAAGAACTCACAAGTAGTGATCTATTGCTCTGGACAACTAACCATGGAGCAAGAAAGGTTGGTCACCCAGCAATCACCTCCATTGACCAAATATGTTATGACACAGAGTGCCACCCTGATGACTTTCTGAGATTGATGGATGACTGTGATGGTTGGCGTCATAGACTTATGAATGTTTGAGATAGTTTGATCAAATAAAAATCAGAATAAAAAGATAGAAAATAAATAATAGATAACTAAAAATAAAAAATGCATAAAAATATGAAATAAATAATATAAATAAAAAATAAATAAGAAGAATAAATCAGAACCAAAAAATAACTAAAAAGAAAAAATGAATAAAAAATAAAAAATAAGTAAAATAAAAAAGAATAAAAAATAATAAAAAATAAAATAAAAATTAACAAAAATATAACTAAAAATAGAAATAAGAATAAAAAGTAAATATTAAAAGTAAAAGATAAATAAAAAAATAAATCAGAATAAAAAAGATAGAAAATAAATGATAACTAAAAAAAATAAAAAGTAAATAAAAACTAAAAAAATGAATAAGAAATAATAAATCAAAATAAAAATAAATCAAAATTAAAAATAATAATAATAAATAAAAATAAGAATAAAAACAGTAAAAGTAACTAAAAATAAAAATAATAAAATATAGATAAAAATAAAAAAATAAATCAAAATTAAAAAATAAGAATATTAAATATAAGATTAAAAACAGTAAAAGTAATAAAATATAGTTAAAAGTAAGAATTAGAATAAAAATAAAACATTAAAAAAAATAACTAAAAAATAAAATTAACAAAATATAATTAAACTAAAAATAAAGAATAAGAATAAAGTAAAATAAGTATGAAAAGTAAAAAAATAAATCAAAATAAAAAGATAGAAAATAAAACAATAGATAACAAAAATAAAGAGTAAATAAAAAAACTAAAAAATGAATAATATGAAAAACAAAAATAAAAATAACAAAAAATGAAAAATAAGTACAATTAAAAATAATAAAAAACATTAAAAGTAACTAAAAATAAAAAATAGTAAAATATAGCTAAAAATAAAAAATAAATCAAAATTCAAAATAAGAATATTAAATATAAGATTAAAAACAGTAAAAGTAACAAAAAAGTAATAAAATATAGTTAAAAGTAAGAATTAGAATAAAATAAGACATTAAAAAAATAACTAAAAAAATAAAATTAATAAAATATAATTAAACTAAAAATAAAGAATAAGAATAAAATAAAAAATAAGTATGAAAAGTAAAAAATAAATCAAAATAAAAAGATAGAAAATAAACGATAGATAACTAAAATAAAAAAGTAAATAAAAAACTAAAAAATGAATAATATGAAAAACAAAAATAAAAATAACAAAAAATGAAAATAAGTACAATTAAAAATAATAAAAAACATTAAAAGTAACTAAAAATAAAAAATAAGAATAAAAACTCAAAATATAATAAATAATTCAAAAGTAAAAATAAATAAAAATAAAAATTAACGAAAACAGAAAGATGTAAAATTGATAAAATTAAAAGAAACCAAATAAGAATAAAAAAAATAAATAAAAAATACAAAATGAATAAAACTGACAACCACTTTTTTTATATAAAAGATTCTTTTAATTTGCTAAGATAAGCAGCAAACCTTTTGCTATCTTTTATCAACACGTGAAGTTCAGGCACTGTAAGTCCTAATTCTTGTAACTCATAAAATCGTAATCGGAGAGTCTCCTCACTAAATTTGAATACACGAGCATTTGCGATGATATCTTTGTTCGAGAAACCAAATTCATCCCGAAGGAATGTCAAATGGTTCTGCAACTTTGCAATGTTCACAGATAACAGATGCGGATAACTGGCAATCATTGCTCGCAAAACAGATTCGTCACATTCCAAGTGTTTGCACAGGTATTCCTCCTTAGAAATGCAATTATCATATACAGATCTATCAATGACCATTCTTTGGAGAAGCGCTGTGTATTCTTTACCTGTTGACTTCATTAACCCATTCAAAGACTTCTTCCAAATAAATGTCGGAACATCTAACCGCTTCAGTTCGTTTAATTTGACTTCAATATCAGTCAGAGGAAATGAAAGCAACCAAATCCTCTTTTGAATGACAGAAGTCAATTCAGGATCAGCTGACAGATAGACATCCAGTTTTTTTTGAATGGTTGACAGTTTAGAATTGTCGAGCCATATGGACGAATTAATGAGGGAGGCCGCAACTGCTTCGGAACAGTTGAGAGACTTCATCAGAAGCCCGCATTTGTCATGAAACTGCAGGCGGGCGTGTGTGTCCTCAACATACGTCTGGTAGCGTCTGTTGAACTCTTTCTGGGAGACATTGATCATCGAGAGGCGGATATTCTTCAGGTCGGTGTTCTGTTTCAAGTCATCGATTCGCATCTTCACGGTTTCGTATTTACGCTTGAAGATGTCCGGATAGGTGAGCACATCACGCACATTAATGTAGTTTGTGGCAAAAAGGTCGATCATTTTCACAAATTTATTACGTTTCATTCTGAGCAAGTAGTCATAATTATGAAGGTAATCTTTGACCTCTTTCTTGGAACACATCAGCGTGTTTGTCATATATTCTTGCCTGAATAAAACTTCTTCATCAAAATGTTTCTTTAAGGTAGTCCGAGAAAGAGTTGTCTTAGAGGCCAGGCTGACAGGAAACAGGAACAATTGTCTGTGACACACGGGCCCAATGATAGACTTACCTACAAATAAGAAAATATCATTAACATAACTGATGTTCTCCCCAGAAATACAGGATTAGTCAAAATTATGGTAACTCTAGTATGCAAGGAATCATTTATTCAGAATTTACTGAACAGTCTCCAACTGTCCACCAGCACGATTGAACAAAAACCAGCGATGAACAGTACAATTTAATGCCTAGACACACACTTCACTGAGAATGTTTGATATTACACCTTTTCTTCTGTCCTGGAGTTCTTTGATGCTGCTAACGTTTTTGCTATACACACGATCCTTTATCATACCCCATAACTAGAAGTCACAGAGTGTCAGATCAGGGTAGTGTGTTGGCCATGTCAACAGTCTGCCACGACCTATTCAACAATTTGGGAAACTTTGTTCAAGAAGAGCGTGAACAGTTCAGGCAAAATGAGGCGGTGCACCATCTTGTTGGAAATACCCTGCTCGTCTGATTTATAGAGGTTTGTTATCAATGGCAAACTCTTGCAGCATTTGTAAGTAAGCATTTACAGTCCAAATCATGTAAATAATGCAAGTAATCACAATACCTCATCTCAAGACATATAGAGGCCGAAACATTGTGAATATGGCAATGAAGATGAGGATAACAGTCTGAATAATGTAAATAATGCAAGTAATCATAATACCTCATCTCAGAGATATAGAGGCCGAAACGTTGTGAATATGGCAATGAAGATGAGGATAACAGTCCGAATAATGTAAATAATGCAAGTAATCATAATACCTCATCTCAGAGATATAGAGGCCCAAACGTTGTGAATATGGCAATGAAGATGAGGATAACAGTCCGAATAATGTAAATAATGCAAGTAATCATGATACCTCATCTCAGAGATATGGAGACCGAAACATTGTGAATATAGCAATGAAGATGAGGATAACAGTCTGAATAATGCAAATAATGCAAGTAATCATAATACCTCATCTCAGAGATATAGAGGCCCAAACGTTGTGAATATTGCAATGAAGATGAGGATAACAGTCCGAATAATGTAAATAATGCAAGTAATCATAATACCTCATCTCAGAGATATAGACAGATATGTTCAGTTATTACTTGACCATTTTCACTGAGTGCAAGTACATACTGCCTGACCCAGGGATTGAACTCACAACCACAATGTTACCAAATTCACAAACCAATGCTTTTATATACTAGCCCATTGTCCCATGGGGTTAGCACAATGGCCAAAATGTTGTGATAACAACAACAAAGATGGGGATAATGATCCAAAAATAAATAGTGGAAATAATGATAATTCCTCATCCCAGAAATTCAGACTGAAATTCTTTCTCCTAAATAGTGTTTTTTCTCTTCATCAAGTGTCTTAGTGGCTTTATTGCCTTCCTTAGGGTGAAATGATTAAAAAAAATATTTCTGGCCTGTTTGTATTATTATAGACCAGTATTTCCCAACCTTTTAAGCAATGGCACACTTAGCCAAATTTTTAATGGGTATACATTTAAATGTAGTGAAATAAAACCTTAGATTTAAAAAAAAAAAAAAACAAAACACACACACGCACGCACAAATATGAACTTACTCAACTATTTATGCAGCTTATTTAGTTAAAAAGCCGGTGCCTGGCATTTTTTTTTTGCAATTTCTTCAATGTTTGGTCGTATGCGTGCTAAACAGACCCTAATTTCTTCTTCAGTTGAGCGTACTCTTCCTTGTTTCTTATTTTTTATGTTATTTAGGGTTGAGAAGCCGAATTCAAATAAGTAGAAAATTGCAATAAAATTGATAAAGCCATTTTAGCTAATGTGGGACAAAAAGTTTTATACTTATTCATTTATCCAAATACTAATGCTGTAACATTACTATTTCTACACACACACACACACACACATATATATATATTTGTATGCAGTGACGGAATTGTGAATCACTGCCATAAATGATGGATAATGATAACTATTTTGGATTATTTGTCTTGTTCTTTTATTATTCTTTCTCCTTAATAATGTTTTCTTTTTCTCATATTCCCTTACACTCAGTAAAAGGTTGTGTCTGTCTTTGTGGCTTTATTGCCTTGCTTGGAGAGAAATGATTAAAACAAAATGACAGATTTTCGTATATCAACTTACAATATAGCTTTTTATCTTTTTTACTAAAAAAGATTTCTAATGATATTAATTTACACTCTTATCTTTCCAGAAAATTTAGCTGTGAATGACTGTTTTCTACAAAAGCTACTGCTCCTCCTGCTACTTCTCTTGATGTAGGCATTTCAGTAATCAATTATTGATATCTCAGGATCAATAAGCTTATGTTTGCTTAAAATTGTTAGATTTTATTCAATGAATTATTTAGAATAATATGTGTTGTTTTTTAGTCACTGTTTTCTGATCGATTGGGTCTTGTTTTGTTTTTTTAATCAAATTCACCCCATGTAAGGCAGTAAAGGCGTTACTGGGTGTGAGAGAATTAGAAAACTGAAGCCTTATTGAGGTGCAAGAATAATAGAAGAGTAATCAGGAAGACAGTAGATAATAACTGACATTGCATTTAAATTTTTGAAGATCAAAGTTGGTTGGAAAGCATGAAGCCGGAAGAGAGTTCCACAGGCGAGAAGTGAGAACAATAAATGAAGAGGAATCAAGAAGATAGTAGATAACGATTGAATTTGCATTTAAATTTTTGAAGATCAAAGTTGGCTTGAAAGCATGAAGCCGGAAGAGAGTTCCACAGGCGAGAAGTGAGAACAATAAAGGAAGAGGAATCAAGAAGACAGTAGATAACGATTGACATTGCATTTCAATTTTTGAAGATCAAAGTTGGCTGGAAAGCATGAAGCCGGAAGAGAGTTCCACAGGTGAGAAGTGAGAACAATAAAGGAAGAGGAATCAAGAAGACAGTAGATAACGATTGAATTTGCATTTCAATTTTTGAAGATCAAAGTTGGCTGGAAAGCATGAAGCCGGAAGAGAGTTCCACAGGCAAGAAGTGAGAACAATAAAGGAAGAGGAATCAAGAAGACAGTAGATAACGATTGAATTTGCATTTAAATTTTTGAAGATCAAATTTGGCTGGAAAGCATGAAGCCGGAAGAGAGTTCCACAGGCGAGAAGTGAGAACAATAAAGGAAGAGGAATCAAGAAGACAGTAGATAACGATTGACTTTGCATTTAAATTTTTGAAGATCAAAGTTGTCTGGAAAGCAAGAAGTCAGAAAAAATTCCACATGCGAGAAGTGCAAGAAAGTGTTAGTACAGAACTTATGATTACATCTCACCAAATTAACTGTAAACCGATGAGACCTTGTTGCTTATCTAGTACTGTACTTAAATTCATAAAGTCTAGGTACCATAGCAAAGAGCTCATCTGAACAAGTACCACAAAAGTATTTATTGAAAAGTCACATGGAGGCAACTTTGTGGCGGTGGGAAAGTGACTGGAGCCGAGACATCAGGTTGGGACTAATAATATTGCTGATTCTTCTTTGGATTTTATCAAGAATCTCTAAATATATAGCAGGAGCATCAGATTATATGTGGCAGCAATATTTGAGGCATGGACGAATGAAAGACTTATGGATATGTGTTGTAACTGACTTATCAAAAACAATAGTAGAAAACTGGAATTCGTTTAACGACAAGTTTATTACCTTTTGGAACAGGGAAACATAATGTAGAATAGAAGCTAAGGAAAAGAATGTTTAGCTGTGAATGACTGTTTTCAGCAAAAGCTACTACTCCTCCTGCTACTCCTCTTGATGTAGGTGTATTTTTTTGTCTGACAGCCAAGCCCAAACTTGTAGAGAAATATTCTCCCTCATAACAATATGTAAGACAGGTTTGGTTTATTTTAACGGCATATCAACACCTCAATGGATTATTTAATGCTGACAAGATTTTTAGGATAGGTTCATATGAATAGAATATGCATTCTTTGTAAGAAATCAGTTTGGTTTTGTTCATTTTTTTTTTTACAGCATATCAATGTCAATGAGTTATTTAGTGTCGACAAGAGTTTTAGGATAGGGTCATAGGAATAGAATATATATTCTTTGTAAGAAATCAGTTTGCTTTGATTTATTTTGTTTTATGGCATACAACCCTCAATGGGTTATTTAATGCCGACAAAATTTTTATTGCTGATAATATGTTTTTCTTCAAAAATCTATTTCTGGGAATATTTTTCCTTGAAGAAATCTATAGCTAGTCATATTTTTTTAAAAAAATGTATAACTGTTTGTATTGCTGGTATTTTTTTAAAATAATTTGCTCACTAAAATGAAAAAGGTAAATAATTTTCTGGCAACAGGTCTGTATATGAACACAACAGTTCTGTGAGAATAACAACATTGCAATTATTATTCTTTGACAAGCATCGTGGGATGTAACATTTGACATTAAAATCACAGAGATGGAGTAGTTTTACCCTTATTGCATATTTGTATACTAAATGATTCGGAACAGCTTTCGCTATCATTTTGACACTCGATTACTTCTTTATATGCAGGTTTCGACTGGTAGAGATGCACACATTATGGTAGAATCCACATACAACAATTGCACCAAAATGCACTGAAAAGAACCAGTGCATCTTACTCCCAAACTAGGGTGGGGGCACTTTTATGGGCCCCATTATGGCCTCTGACATTTTTTTTAGCAGTTTCATGGCCACCTGCCATTTTTTTTAAACTGATGTTACATTGTCAGTCATCAACTAATGATATACATCGTGTATCTGCATGGCCAGTGGGGTGTGTATTACACAGGAAACCCCAACGAGGTTGGACCCCCAAAAGGGCTAGTTTCAGCAGCATTTTATTTCACTTTTTATTTTTTTTTATTTTTTTTCTACCGATGTTATATTTTCAATAATCATCTAGAATAATTGACAGGGATGGTGCTTACTACTCCAAACCTCTCAATCACATGGGGGCCTGATGCCTACTGGGAAGTGGGGGAGTGCTAATTTCAGAAGTGCTTGTTTTATTTTATTTTTTTTTTTATTGTAATTTTCTTTCTGAACAGTTCTTTTAAATCAATTAACACAGTAAAATTATTTTTTATTCCTAGATCATCCACTAAGGAGGAACTTTGATTTTTTTTTTTACTAATAGTAATACTAACCAGAAGTTCATGGCTAGTAATTAAAATAAAATTTCTAGTCCCTATTTTTTACATTGCTAGTAAGATAAAACCGAGAAAATAATCATTGAAAAAATAAGAATGTTTAAAGATAAATTTTCCCGAAAACTGAAATAATGTTTTTAAAACAAGTTTTTAACATCAATCCTGTGTGTTGGAATCTTTGTAAACTTTGTAAATATTTGTGACTTAAACATTTTTTTGAGTAAAATTTAACCATGAAAATATTGGTGGTTATTGCAAAAAGAATAACATTTTTTCAGTTTTATTTTTAAATAAAAAAAACAACAATTTATTATAAAAGTAAATTGTTAATGAATATGCTCTGAAATATTCATTTAAATTGGATAATTCCCAGATTTTTGGTAATTTTAAAAAAGCGCTGCCCTTCCCCACCAACTTTCCTTCGAGGGTTTGTGGCTCCCAGTTTGGGAAACTTGACATGTAGTAGAGAGTGGGGGCCCCATATCAAAGTCGAGATCCTAGGACTGGCCCTGGCACTGAAAATCAGGAAGAAAAGAGTTATCATTGGTCAGGAATTCATATGAGTACCACTGATGAAATAAGGTTAATAAATGTAAAATATATTGAAAATCAGGGTTTACAGTAATTCATGAATTACAAATATTACTTACTTTATTACATAATCTAAATTATTTTCTCTTGCTTTAATTTCTATGATGCAAACAAGACTGACCTTGACTATAGTTTATAGAGTACATGGTCCAAGACTTTGTAGGGATACAAAAGGCGATTATCTCCCTTTGGTCAAGATAAGTCACACAGTTCATGTGATGTCTGCTTAGTGACATCAATCCATACAGTGATCAAAGTGGCAGTCCTTCAGTCAGTTTACAGTAGACAAACCTGGGCTGAAGCTAAATCTGCCTCCTCCAGCACAAGCTACAGCTTATAATCACATAGTGCCATTTCCCTTAGAGAATATATTTTTCTCAAATATAAAAAGAAATTCTCTCCAGCTAGCAGTCCTCAATTTGGAAAAAGCCAAGACTCACTGTTTCCCTTTTGTGGAATATGTCCTTGCTTGGGACATAGAAGATGAATCTAGCCTGTTTGAATCTGGAGTCTTAAACATGGCTTCTCCAGAAACACAGAAGAATCTCCATATTATATGTAAGACCCTATCTTTTCATTTATGTACACTAATGGATCATATGCAATATAGTTGAACAATTCAAATAGAAAAATTGAAAATAAATACAATGTATCTAAATACAAATTAGTGACATATCGTAATAGATCATTCCATCTTAAATAAATCAACAATGTTTTGCAGCAATTTTAAACAGCAATTTGAGATTTTTCTTGTTTGAAAAGTTAAATAATTTTAACACATTCAACATTATGGATGTGTTAAAATTATGGATGAAGAAATAATGAATTTTATTTACTGTTTTTTTTCAAGACCAGAATGGGCAAAACAAATTCACAAATTTGAGCAAAAATAAAACTCAGAATTATGTCAAAATACGCAAAAATTTGTAATTATTTAATCTGAACCTATAAAGCGTGGGGGACCTAACTCTACTAAATCTCAATTTTCATAAGCTAATATTCATATAAAACACAAATTTTATTGTAACCTAATTATGTACAATAATGGATCGTATGCAATATAGGTGAAGAATTCAATTAGAAGTGTTGAAAATAAATACAATGCACAAATAAGAGACACGTCATAAATCAACAATGTTTTGCAGCAATTTTTAACAGTAATTTGAGATTTTTCTTGTTAAAAAGTTGAATAATTTAATACATTCAACATTATGAATAAAAATAGTGAATTTTATATTGTGTTTTTTGATACCTAGCATGATAAAACAAATTCAGGGATATAGAAGAAAAAACCCCAAAAAGTCACAGAATAATATCAAAATCTGCGAAAAATTTTCACGCTCTGTTATGCTTAGAGTTGTATAGCGAAGAAAACGGTGACTTATCTCGTCAAACCAAGTGACAGCACATCATGTGTATTTGACAGAAAATGTGGCGAAAAAGAAAATTACTTACCAAACAAAAGGGCATGTATTCCTCATGACATGCTGAAGATGGAATATTTAAATTAAAAAAAGAAGTCCGTTGCAGGAGTCGCTATAAAAGTATTTTGATATGCAAAATACTGAACATCCTCTCCCAGCTGTCGACGAATGGAAAAAATGCTCATCCGATAAAAGCAGTTGGTGTTCTCAAATTGGTGAAGAACAAGTCGGTTATTTTGGCTACCACATCTGTTGGAGAGTGAGTTATTTTTCTGACTGGTGGCGTGCATTGGGATTTGTGAAATAGGACTTGCAAATCGAGTTTTCGGTATTTTCTTTCTGTCCTCGTTGTTCGAGTCTGAACATAGTGATTTATTTTCTGTGATGTGGAAACAATCTGCGACAAACATTTCTTTTACAATCCCAGTTGTTAGCATCCTGCTGCTACTTTTTGTGCAAATCTGTGCAAAAAGTGGATCACAGAGCCTTGATATTTTTCTCGCCTCTTATTAGTCAGTTAATATTAAAAATCATGTTCTCGCCTACACGTTATTCAAAATCATTTTTCTGCCAAAAATCAGAAATTCTCTTTTGAGCTGATCACGTGATTACGTTGATTATACCAAACACAAGTTCATTCTTCCTTCTTTTTGATTTTTCTCGCTTACTAAAATGTAGCATTTAACGAAATCACGTTTCGACCCTTTACAGGCGGACACTATGAAAACATATTCACACATGCACACATACATGTATGTACTGAAACTTAATTATGAACATTACAAACATCAGCATATTACAAATATTCAACTACAAGCAACGGAAATTAATTAAACATTATGGAACATTCACTCTTTCAACTTTTCTGAAGCTAAAATTTTATCAACATATTCTCATCTTTCCAGAATTCTTACAACTCTCTCACGGTGAACAATTTTTAGCGGCAAGTCCATTCAACTTTTTGAGGTCAGATAAAAAAATAATTTCCTCAGTAAAGACTTTAATTCCAGTCAAAGGGAAGTAACTCTTATTAATTATCGAAATAAAAGTATAAAATTATTTCGATCATTAAAATTTGTACCTAAAAAAATATCTTATTAATTATACTTTTATATCATTGACATACGTAAATATGAATATTGTTTGTTATAAAAACAGTTTTGTGTGGCTTATTTTGTGGTATTTTGCATAAATATAAATTCGAGAGGTTACACCAAATAACTGACCTCTACAAGTCTAATAATTTGTAACGTATATAAATGAAATGTATGTCGAACAAAAAAAGATAGCAAGTGTCACAAAGCACTGCTCCCAATCAACACCCCTGGTTGGGAGGGTAGTATACACCAGCCTTGTTGAGGTGTCAAAATATTGTGATGAGATTGCATCAGTATTATTTTATTTTTAGTCAATTGTTTTAATTTTTATTAATGACGTTTTAACCAGTAGTCAAGCTCAAGAGACATATTGATTATTACCTGAATCTCTGAAGTTTTGTTTTCTTTCTTTCCTCTGATCGAATTTGTCAAGCACGATTATTATTTTCCCTGTAGAAAATTTGGTAAATTTGCAGATAATGTTCCAGTGACCAATTTTTAAAAAAAAAAAAAAAAAAAAAAAAAGCCTGACTGCAATAGCAATATGCTCAGTATGGTGAGGGATTTTCAGAAAATAAACGCTGCTGTAAGTATTTTCGCCACTGCTCCGAAGTAATAATGAAAAAAGAATGCAATTCCAAAAGAAAGAAAGAAAAAAAAAAAAACTTTATTACAATCTAAAAAGGGTGCTTGCAAAAATTCGTCCCTTTTCCTGAAAATAGGATAACCTATTTTCTGACTCGGTCAGTTACGGCTCTTTTATGACTGATGAGTCAGTTTTTTTTCTTCCCGCAGTAGGTTGCCATTTCTTTCTGCGGTAGACCAGTTGCCATCAAAGGCTATAACCCGGTCTGTACTGAACCATAGCTGGGAGGAAAAGAAGAGGATTTATAACTTCCCCAAGGGAATGGGCATGTAAGTGAGTGTAAATTCAACTGGAATTCGAATCCTCCTCAATCCGAGCCTACTCTAACAAAATATTTAAAAAAAAATAAAAGTTTAACAATTACAATACACAAAAAAAATAATAATAAGGTTAAGCCAACCTGCGGCTGTGCAAAAGATAACAAAAAGAGCCTCTGCTCACCTTTTTGTTTTTTTAGTTCAAAAAGTACTTTTCTTTAGGGATTGACCATAGGTAACATAGTTTCAGGCTGTATCCGGCCGGGATCCAACTAGGATTGGCAATATCTCTTAGAAAAGGTAGTCTTTCCTTCTTAATTTTTATTTCTATTTTTGTAATAATCAGGCTTTTTTTTATACCAGGAATAATGCATTTTTTAAAATTGTTCACTGGCGGGCATTATCTGCAAATTTACCTAAAATTTAGGGTTGTATTGTAATGTAAAATTTCCTTAAACTTTATTTTTAAGCAACTGGTCTCTCCTATTGAGTCTAAGAAGTAATTTAATTGTTACCCGCCAAAAAAAAAAAAAATTATCACTGTTACTTACCAAGTATTTGAATGCAGGCAAGTCCATGATTTGCTATTATAGTACACAACATCGGGGGAAAAAACAAAACAAAACCGTTGTTGTGATAAATTTAAATTGAAATAAAATCACCAGAAAAAAATTCAGCGATCAAATTCTTTAACACTGTTGAGTGTAACTGGATGCAATCAAAACAAAGTAAATATGTTATATTATTACATTTATCAAACATCAAAAATGTACATCTTTAAAATAAAACTGAAACTTATTGAAATCAGGAATTACTTTTAAAATTCACGTGGGCGGTGTAAGTCAATATTTTCTCCTCTACTTTTTGTTTTTTCTTATTTATAACCCGGTTCTTCATTATATGTCTCCTGTCTTGTAGTATCACTTGCTAAATTTATTGTTAAACGGAATTTTATAATAAATTAAATACATTTAAAAAAAAATTAAAATCGTATAATTGGCTTTAAACTAAGATTATTATCAGATAAAATTAAAATTGGAGGACGTAAAAAACAGGGGGATTTATTTTCACTCAACACCGGATTCCTATATTTTTTTTTTTTCTAATATTATTTACCTGCGTATTTTTGGTTATCAAATATGTCTTCAATATTTTTTGCCCTTGGTCAATTGACCTGATGCTTTTTGTAATTATTTTAAAAACTAAATGACTGAAATCGATCTAAATCCCTTGACCGAAGGTGAGGAGAATTTTTTTAAGTCTTTTTTTAAAATGTAATGTTTGTTTTTTTGCGTTATTTTTCACGTCGTAACTATTTTTTTTCCTTCTCACTTGTGTTTTTTTTTTTTCATTCCATTTCAAATCTTCAAATTTGCCAGGTGATTGGTTTTATTCTCTATTTTTGGAGGAGGAGATGCTCATTTTTATTATTTTGAATTTTACTTACTTTTTTTTAGTTTTACTTTTTTATCATTATTTCTACCTTGTAATTTTTTAATCAGTTCCAACACAAGTCCTTTTTTCCATGTAAAAATACACAATTTAAAAATTATACATGTAAAATTTTAAAAGGTACTCAATGTAAAAAAAAAAAAAAACAATGACTGGTATTTAAAAAAATTTGTGGTCTATTTTTTTTACGCTTCTGATTGTTGTACTCATCTTCGTTGCCATATTCACGACGTTTCGGCCGTTGTACGCTCCGGCCTTCTTCAGGATCTGTCTATATTTCTGAGTGAGGTATTGTAATTATTTACCAATATTTGCATTGTTCAGAATGTTGTCCTCATCTTTATCGTCATATTCACGACGTTTCGGCCGTTGTACGCTCCGGCCTTCTTCAGGATTTGTCTATATTTCTGAGTGAGGTATTGTAATTATTTACAGTAATTGCATTGTTCAGAATGTTGTCCTTTATTGCCATATTCACGATGTTTCGGCCAATGTAAGCTCTGACCTTCTTCAGGTGGTTTGGAATTTTGAACTGAATCCTTTATTTCATTCACCAGGGTAGTTTGTTCTAGTTCCACGTCATGAATATGGCAATAAAGATGAGGACAACATTCTAAACAATGCAAATAGTGTAAAAATAGTTACAATACCTCATTTCAGAAATATAGATAGATTCTGAAGAAGGCCGGAGCGTACAACCGTCAAAATGTCATGAATATGGCAGTAAAGATGAGGATAACTGTCTGAACAATGTAAATAATTATAATACCTCATCTCAGAAATATAGACACCAAAATTCGTGGTCTGCTTTCTTTAACAACAAATAAAAATAAAAAAATGAAAACATGTAGCGATTGATCTCAGCGATTGATCTCAGGTTGCATTTGCATAGTTGTAGTGTAAAACCACAGGTTGTCTCTGTGGGTAATGAAAAAAACAGAAATGGGCCTGAATGGATGGACAAGTTTGGAAAAAATCAGCCATAATGAAGATGAAAAATCACATGGATTTACAGTCAAAACACTGATGATAATGAGCCTTCTAATGAGAGTTAGAAATTTCAGTTATTTTCCATAAATTGAATGGAGTAACAATTTGAAATATTTGAGTCTCGCTTCATGCTTGTTATAGGTTTATGTTTACTTTTGGACTAACAGAAGCCTTGTTATGCTTAAATTATTAGTAAAATAAAAAATAGTGTTTTTCAATTTTTTTGATTAAAGACATTGCCTGGTGCTGCGACTATATGAATTTAAGCATGCTACTAGATTGGAATGTAGGTCCCACCCTTTTACTGTTGAATTAGCTAAATGTAACTGCCATTTCTACTTCAATGGTGTCTTTTCTCGCACTTCCTGCCTGTGGAACTCCCTTCAGTTTCCTTACTTCCCTGATAGCTACAGTCTTCAAAAATTTAAATGCAATGTCAATCACTATCTTCTTGAACCCCATTCACCTTGTATCCTTTCCTCAGTCCACTCCTATACCAATGTTTTTCTCTGACCTTCACTCTCTGTAACCCCCTGTGTACTGGTGGCATTCCTGCCTTGCTTGGGATAAAATGACTAAAAATAAAAAAAAATATGAAAGTAAATTTGTTTTCTTTGTTCTTGAGAAATGGTGTCAAAAATAATAAACACTATTTAAAATTCTTTAACAATAATAATATTGAATAAGTTTTTTAAACATTAAACTTAAAGTATATTCAATTACATCTCCCTAAAAGCTGTCGCAATCGGTTAGAATGTTGTAAATAAAATTATTCTTGTAAATAAACAGTCTAATAAACAATGTTTAATATTTTTGTTGTCAATTCTCAAGAACAAAGAAAATGTATAAATTCACTTTCATCATATCTTTCAGTTTTATTCCAATTCTAATCTTTGCTTTTTTAAAACAATATAAACATTGCCCAAGAATACAGTTAAAAAAATCAAAAAAATCTGGTGAGAGTAACTGTCCTTTTGATATTATGTCTTATTGTAGACAAGATTATCAATGTTTGCCAAAAATTGAATTGATTGACAAAAGTGTGTTTAGAATGTAATCCAAACCAATTGTGGTCTGGCATTGTTTCACTCATTTATGTGCCATGTGTGATACACGCTTAGATAATCATGTATCTTTCAGTAGACCAGTTGCCATCCAAGGCTATAGAACCTGGTCTGTCCTGCTATTTACCCATAGCTGGGGGGGGAGAAGAAAAGGATTCCCAAGGACATTAGCACGTAAATGAAATTCACTCAGTTATGTGCCATGTGTGATACACACTTAGGCAATCATGTATCTTTTGATACATGACTGACAAGGCAGATTTTTTCCTGCAGTAGGTTGCCATTATCTTTCTGCAGTAGACCAGTTGCAATCCAAGGCTATAGAACCCAGTCTGTCTTGCTATTTGCCCATAGCTGGTGAGAGAAGAGGATTCATACCTTTCCCAAGGGTATTAGCATGTAAGTGGAGGTAATGGATTCAAATGGAATACAAACTCTGCTCTCGATTCCTCAATCCAAGCCACTATCTATTACTCCACCGTGCCTCCTGGGCACTGTTTAGCAAAGCATTTAAGCAAACACACAAAAAGATTTGTGGCTTGCCTGTTTTGATTCTATCGATATATATATATATATATATATATATATATATATATTTTTTTTTTTAAGGATGTAGTCATCTATTTTTTTTTTTATTTTTTAAATCATTATCACACCAAGCAAGGCAGTACAGCCACTAACACACGCGGCGTTACAGAATGTGGAGAAATTTGAAACAGAAACATTAGTAATGAGTAGAAAGAGAAAAAGGGTGCTACTATAACATGAGCTCTACCTCAGTATGTCGTTGACACAAGTGCAGCGCGGAAGTCTACTGTGCCCTTCCCCTCACATGGCCATCAGCCAAATGCGAGGTGTTGGTAGTCAGCTGTTCCAGTCACATCTTGATCATTTTTGATGGAAGATGATGAGAAAAAATTCCAATGATCTATTCGTGTCATTCCTAGAAGATATACAAAATATTTATCACTAAAATAAATGCGTGTCTTGTATTTGATAGCATGTTTATTTTTACCTCTCTGCCTTTAATATAAATAGTGTATCAATATATGAATGATAATATAAGGTTTAAATAAATATGTATACACATACAATATTATATTACAGTTTGATGCCGTGGTAGACCTCACGCTATAGACGAAATGGGGGTTAGACCTCATGCTATATATTAGCACCGAAAAAAGACCAGTCAGGAGGACAGTAACTGACATTGCATTTAAATTTTTGCAGATTAAAGTTGGCTGGCAAGCATGCAGCCAGAAGTGAGTTCCACAGCCAAGAGGTGCTGAATAAGAAACTGTCAGCATAGAAGTTATGGCTACACCTAGAGGCTCAACTGTAAATGGATGAGCTCTCGCAACCTGTCTAGTGCAGCACTGAAATTCTTAGTCATATTTTTAGAAAGTTACATTTCATAAGACAACTTCCAAAGAATCATGTTTTCAAGTCTAAAAAAATGGAAATTAATCCGTCAATTAGAAAAAAACAAAATCACATTCAAAAATTAAAAATAAATAATGCATCATATCTAGAAAAAAAATAATATTTGAGGTACAAAATCATTTTTTTTTAATGCCATATTGCTCTAGAACATAGGCAATCATACCTCTCCACAGCTTCCTTTTTTTAATTATCTATGACTTACCATAACTTCTTGCAAAAGGCTTATAGCCATAAAACATTAAAACACCAATTCTTAAATGATCACCAAAGTTAAGCAACATTGAGCCTTATCAGTACCTAGATGGGTGACTGTTTGGGAATACCAGGTGCTGTAAGCTTGGACGTTTGGGTGGATAATGGCTTGGAATTGTTAATTGGATATAGCTGAGTTTCAATTCCTACTGGATTTGTTATTTTCACTTACATGCAAACACCCTTGGGAAAGGTATGAATCCACCTCTCCCCCCAGCTATGGGTTAATTAGTAAGACTTGTATCACTAAGCTATTATTATCTTGTATCACTAAATCATTTAATTCCTATTCTTTTATTGTTCTCTCTCCATAATAAGGTTGTTCTTTTTTTTTCTTATTCTTTCACACCCAGTAACCTTTTGTGTCTTAGTGGCTATATTGCCTTGTTTGGGTTGAAATGATTAAAAAAAAAGTCAGTTTGTATTGCCATAGACGATGGATAGTGATAATTATTTTGGCCTGTTTTTCTTGAAAACATAATCTTTTTCTTTTATTGTTTGCTTACACTCAGTAACCCCTTCCATCTTTGTGGCTTTATTATCTTGCTTGATGTAAAATTATATATATATATATATATATATATATATATATATATATATATATATATATATAGTGTGTGTGTGTGTGAGTGTTTCATTGAATAGTATATTGTGTCTACTTATTTTTATACCAAGCCTTTCCAGTTCTCTCATCAGTTTCTTGGTGTTAAGATGAAATTCATCAAAGAAAGCACCTCTTTTGCTTGTTTTGCAAAAGATTCCATAGATGCAACAGATAAATTTAAAGTTTTAAAACAGTTTTAACAGAGTGTGTTCACGTGTGTTTTTAAAAATCACCATCACGACACATATCTATTCTTATACGAGAGATTCAGGGAAGATTGAAGTTTAAATACAGTAAATTCGACCTTGCTAACGAATGCTCCTCTGTGGCCAAATCAGTTAAAGGCACATCAGGCTAAATGACGGTTTCGTATAGGATACAGGTTCGAATCCTGTCAGAGGATAAATATTTTCTGTGAAAATTTCTTGGACTTTCAGGCAGGTAAATGTTGTTTAATACTGTTTGTTATAAACAGAGCATTTACTTAAATATTTGTCTCTATAAAAAGAATGTATAAACATAAAAATGCCTTAATATATATTGGCTCCTGAAAAATTAATTTCAGTTGAGCTCTCTGGGGAGGAGAGTGTGGGTTGGTAAACAGTGACTATTTATAGCTATATAGCGAGACTCTTTCAAAAAGCGAATCAAGTCACTGTCGGTCACTGGGCGTGTTTCTAAAAATAAATACGCTAAAAATCCACCTTCATTCCTACCGTGCGCCGACAGCTTAATGGTTAGAATCCCCGACTGACTTGGTGTCAGTTGGGTTTCGATCCTAGCTAGAGGCAACCGGATGTCTAGCCGCACTGATGAGCTGTGAAACAGCGAAACAGTCTGTCTGTGGATGACGTTTATATATATATATATATATATATATATATATATATATATATATATATATATATATATATATATATATATATATAGAGAGAGAGAGAGATGATGTATCATAGATACATTTACAAACTTTAGGAGCAAGTTCCTCACACCAGAATAAAGACAAAAGTCCATATAAATGTTGGATCCAGAATGATGAATTTAGTTCATCATTCTAAAATGACCTTGTCACCAGTGACGATACATGATGATACATGATATCATCATCCTAAAAATCTGAAACTTTCATTATAAAAACGACCCTTCCACCACAGCCAAAGATAGTAGGGTCCTGACAGTAGAGGTCAGGAGAGTAGCAGTAGTAAAAAAAGAAATACACAAACATCTCTTCTTCACTCCATAAAAATTCACAGTTAATGGTCTCAAATGCTACCCTTAACAATGAAATTCTCGGAACAAGCAAAAATAAGCACAATCTTTTAACAAAACAAAAGAGGCAATAACACTGAAAACATTTTTAACACACACAGTATCAATATTGTAATTAACACCATGAAAAAACACATTCTTGTCATTCATGTTGACACATGTTATTGTTGTACATTTTATTCATTTAAAAAAGAGAAAAGGAATCCTCTATCAATTACAAATACATATAACAACAGTGTAACTTACATTAGCAATAACTACACGTCCAGCCTGATACAGGTTATGTCATGCTGAAATCAAGACATTTTTAATACAATTTTATGGCTTCAACTAAATATATTCAGAATGCAATTGCATGCTTTCAACTACAGATAAAAATGTTCATTTTCTATGAAATGTATTGTTAATTCTGCTATAAATACGTATTTCTGGTAATTTCCTTATAAAAAAATGCATTGCTGCTATTTTTACAAAAAAAAAAAAAAGTAGGAACTTTCACACTTTCATAGCATTTGGTTTTTATTTGGGGTTCACTATTTGTCCATAGCTGGGGCCCTAACAAGCGCTACCATCCCATCTTCTGACTTTCTCCTATATTTTGGATAGGAATCATTACCTTGTTCAAATTTAAATTTCATTTAAATCAAAAAAAAAAACATCATGGGTTGGGGAGTGCCCCTGGGACCTCCTTTGATATATATATATATATATATATATATATATATATATATATATGAAGAAATATACTCTTAAGGTGTGCTATATTTATGGGATAAAGTGATCAATATCAGAGATAGAGCATGTGTAAATATAAAAGTGAACATTGAAGTCAACAAGCTGTTTCATGCTAGACACAATCATCAGGCCTGACGGTTGTGTCTAGCATGAAACAGCCTGTCGCCTCTAAGTGTTGACTTCAATGTTCACTTTTATTTATATATATATATGTATATAAATAAAAAGAAAGAACAGTAAGATATAAAATCCGGTGTTCTTATAGATATTTTTTTTTTTTATTTTTACAAAATAGTGCTCAATGTAAATTTACAGAGCATTAATATTATAAATTAATCCGGTGTTCTTATAGATATTTTTTTTTTTTTTTATTTTTACAAAATAGTGCTCAATGTAAATTTACAGAGCATTAATATTATAAATTAATTGATTTAAAATATGGTTTTTTATATATATATATATATATCTTAGATAAATGATGCTGGATAAAGTGTGTGGTCTCAGAAGTAGACTACATCAAAGGAGATTAAATGCAGGAATTTATATGTGTTTTCTTTTTATAGCATCAATACAGATACTTTTTGATCAGACCTTGTGTAATAAACTAATTATAAATTATGCTATTCACAGGTCAAAGCCAGAAGTATCACCTTTGCTATTCAGAAAATACAGGATTTCTCTTTCCCTCTCTCTCTCCCCCTCCAGTTTCTAACCAAAGCAAAATGCAATGATTCCTCTTAATGATACAAAATCCATATTTTTTCTGATCTATCTTCCCCTACCCCACACCTTTCTCTATTTCGTTTCTGTTTATCCTTAAGTCAAACGGGATTTATCCTTTCAATCAATTTTAAATCATTCCTCTGATTCTGTCATCATCCACTTCATCTCCCCAAATCCTGATTAAAATGGATTTCTTAGCATGGAATCTGATTTAGTCCTGACCTTATTTTTATGGACATTACTTTTTTTAACTATAAATGTCCAGGTAAGTATTTACAACACCTGCTGCTATTGCAGCTGACAAAGCGTTTATTGGATCTTGAGTTCACTCCAGACCTCAAGTGGAACTCGTATATGTGATACTATGGACACCCACGTATAAAAAGGAAGACATGGTTTTATTTCGTTCTTAAGTGTTTCTGTTTTATGACCAACAAATGGTTCTCTGAAATGTTCTAAATGGCGTGACTGATGGGAATGGAGGAGTGGATGAGGTCTTTTTAGAGATCAAGTGGCAACAAAACTGGATATAGGGTGCATCCTGTTGTTGGTCTATACTAACAGTCATGATTGGGATTGGTGAAGTCAGTTCTGGTCTACCTATCATGGAAGACTGGCTTGTCCATCATATGATTCTAATGTCACCTTTTTGACTGATGGGAATGGAGGAGTGGATGGGGTCTTTTAGAGATCAAGTGGCAACAAAACTGGATATAGGGTGCATCCTGTTGTTGGTCTATACTAACAGTCATGATTGGGATTGGTGAAGTCAGTTCTGGTCTACCTATCATGGAAGACTGGCTTGTCCATCATATGATTCTAATGTCACTTGTTTGACTGATGGGAATGAAGGAGTGGATGGGGTCTTTTTAGAGATCAAGTGGCAACAAAACTGGATATAGGGTGCATCCCATTGTTGGTCTATACTAACAGTCATGATTGGGATTGGTGAAGTTACTTCTGGTCTACCTATCATGGAAGACTGGCTTGTTCATCACGTGGTTCTAATGTCACCTTTTTGACTGATGGGAATGGAGGAGTGGATGGGGTCTTTTAGAGATCAAGTGGCAACAAAACTGGATATAGGGTGCATCCTGTTGTTGGTCTATACTAACAGTCATGATTGGGATTGGTGAAGTCACTTCTGGTCTACCTATCATGGAAGACTGGCTTGTTCATCATATGGTTCTAATGTCACCTTTTTTGACTGATGGGAATGGAGGAGTGGATGGGGTCTTTTAGAGATCAAGTGGCAACAAAACTGGATATAGGGTGCATCCCGTTGTTGGTCTATACTAACAGTCATGATTGGGATTGGTGAAGTCAGTTCTGGTCTACCTATCATGGAAGACTGGCTTGTTCATCACGTGGTTCTAATGTCACCTTTTTTGACTGATGGGAATGGAGGAGTGGATGGGGTCTTTTAGAGATCAAGTGGCAACAAAACTGGATATAGGGTGCATCCTGTTGTTGGTCTATACTAACAGTCATGATTGGGATTGGTGAAGTCAGTTCTGGTCTACCTATCATGGAAGACTGGCTTGTCCATCATATGGTTCTAATGTCACCTTGTTTGACTGATGGGAATGGAAGGAGTGGATGGGGTCTTTTAGAGATCAAGTGGCAACAAAACTGGATATAGGGTACATCCTGTTGTTGGTCTATACTAACAGTCATGATTGGGATTGGTGAAGTCAGTTCTGGTCTACCTATCATGGAAGACTGGCTTGTCCATCATATGGTTCTAATGTCA